ATTAGATCATTATAATAATTATATCAAAAGTTATAAACAATTGAACATTTTTGACGAAAAAATTCGAAAATTTATATCTCTGCAACTATTTAAGTTATCGAAATGAATTTTTTTTTCAATTACGCATAAAAGAGTGTATTTTGAAGATATTAGGCGAACAATACTTTAATATCAATTTTTTCAAATGTTATTAACATTTTTTATTTATGAATTGGCCATATCTCAAAAAGCGTTATTTTTATTTTAAAAATTCTTTTTTATTGAATTCCTTGACATTTTTTCTTTAAGAATCCGTTTTAAAGTTCATCTAGTAATCATTAGATTCGACACAGTGAGCGATAATATTGGACGCTCACAGGCCCTAGACCCTACACGAAAAACCAACAGAAAATGGCCAAATCATGGAAACGACAACATATGAAAATTTCGAAGAACTGCAAGTTCTTAAAATTGAACACAAATTTAAATGAAACTATTTGAAAGAACTAAATAATGAAATAAATGAAGAAAATCAATTGCTAAATGAATTACTGTTGAAAGAAAGATAAAATAAAATTACAACACCATTCAAAAATTCGTATGATGAGGTTACTATAATGTCCAAACCTATTGCAAAAAGAATTCCAAGATCAATAGTTAAAAGAATGAAAAACAACGACCATACTAATCTTAAAAACGTTGTAGCCTATTATTTTACCAAGGATAAACTCTGCAAACTAAAAAGTCACATATAAATAAAAATAAAGATACAGTTATAAGAAATTGCATGAATGAAGACAACGTAAATACAATTGAAAAAACACTAAAATACTATCAAATAATAATAAAATTGAAATAGAAGAAATTAGAAAACCAATAGTTAAGATCACGGGAATTTATAAAGCTTTCACAACAAATGAAAAAAATATTGAAACAGACATTAATCAAAGAAATTTTAGCAACTTTGAGGATAAATGTAAAGTCTCATATGTCTTCTCAAGTGATAGACTAAAGACAAGTAGTGTATTGATTAAGGTAACATATAATTTATACAAACATATTAAAAATAACAAAAATAGAATATTCATTGGATACCGAAACTGTAGTGTGTTTGACATCATTAACACGTATCCATGTCACAAATACTCGAGGTTCCACCACAGTGGCAATAAATGCAAAAATGAAGCCACATGCATCAAATGCGCCAGCAATCATACAGTTGTAGAATGCAATAGTAATACCATTAAAAGTCCAAATTGCTTATACCACAACCTAATTACCAGCGCTATTTTGGTAAAACAGAGCACACTATCAGTCATCAACAGGTAACAAGCGTACAGCGGATAACAGACCGACAATTAAGACCTGATTATTAATAAACCTGATATTATTATATGCACAGAAACTTGGAATGTTGATTATCTTCAGATATTCAACATTGCAGGCTACAATATGTACTACAATGACAGTAGAATAAATAAATCCGATGGACTAGTAATATTTATCAGAAATGATATAAAAAAATACAGAAATCGCACAACATAACAATCTTAAAATACTAATCTCGAAGATTACCATGGAAAAGAAAACTCCAGCCGTCAGCTCAGTCCGTGTACAGTACCTCGTAAACAAAAACCAAGCATGAATGTGCGTACCACACGCACACACTCTTGGCTTGGCGCGACGCATGGACATTTGTGAGAGCCAGACGGATGAAATCGGCCTAGCCGAGATTCTCCGTTACACACTAATCACTATGTTCAAAGATTTTTTGTATCCTATTTCTGATGTCCATGAGGATAAAAATCTCCTTAACAAAATTTTACTGGATATTAGAACATATTAATATGCCCATGGTTTTTGCAACTTATATAGTAGAGCCCATAATAAATTAACTTCGTACAACTGTAATAAAATGCAACAAAAGAGTGATAAAATCATAAAAGTTATAACAGACTTAGCTAATACATTTTTGAAATCACAGACTGATTTAAGAGACACTGTGAAAATCGATCTAAAATCAGACATAAAACTGCATACTAAGGGTATTAAATATATGCAATTTATGGAAGCCACAACTTTAAAATCAGAATCTGAAGAATCCAATCATAAGTCAAAATACGAACCTATCAACATTGTTTTTGATAATATAACTATTGATTACATAACTGTTGAAAACACTAACGAGATTTTAATGCAAAAGGCACTGCCAGTCTCTAGGAAACCATTACACTCTGTGAACTGATCAGGGTAACCTATCGGGATATCAACTATCTAGGAAACAACAAAGCTCTTCTCTATTTTAATAGAGGAACTGAAGGAACGCAAACTTTCACTAATTCAGTTTACTCGCTAAAATTTTAACCAAAGCATAAAGACCTAATAGTTGTAGATGGTGTGGTGTTCACATCCACTTGCAATTGTACCAATATTATACAACATCATGTCCCACACTATAAGGAAACATGTACAGATGGACTTACTTGTACAGCCCGTCTAAACAAGATGGAAAAGATAATATATGCAAAAGAGAAGTAAGCAAGCATGGAATACTACAGCACAGCAAGACAAATACTAATTAGATTCTGGTAGTACAATATTTAAATTACATTTTTGCTGCTTAACATGGTAGTATTTACTGCCAAGTTTAGGCAAGCTGTATAATTGTTGTTTTTTATAAATATTATCTTCCTTAGTTCTTAAGTTTCTTCTTCCTTCTTTTCTTTTTTTTATCCTTTTTTCTTCTGTAATTATATGTGTCACGTCCATACTAAGAACACGTACGTGACGAACCATGATAAGTAATTAAGTGTCACGAGAACACACATGTCAGGTTATGGTAACTAATCGGGTATCAGTAATTTAACTTGCTATCGTATAAACCCTCCCGGGAACATTTGTAAATCTATCTAACGAGATAGATTAAGCTAAGCATGTTCTCCAAAATATTTCCGCGAATATTACTCACCGTATATTAATTTAGCAAAAACAAGGGAAGGGGCACATCAGCCTATGGTATAAGAAGGCTGGATCAGGATCCACGATAGCTCATACTCAAGCTTATACTCAAGCTAATAATCATACTCGTACTCATATTGTTTTAGTTATTGTATTATTTCTAAAGATTCGCTACCCGGCTACTCAGAACCGGAATTATACTCTGCTAATTATAAACTTGTCTTTCAACAATAAATCTTAATTAAGTGCAAACACTTGAGACTGTTTCATAAAATCTCTTCTGAAACCCAGTCCTAACAAGGTGAGAGACTAAGTTATCTACCTAAACAAACTACATATAATAAAGGCGCTATTCTTTTAACCAACCTTCGCTTAACTCCTGACTAAGATCCAACTTTTACCAACGCGACAGTATTTTAAACATTATTACGTCTAGCCATAACACCTCCTCGTCTGGGCATAACAATTAGGGGCCCCTCATTCTTGATAATTAGGATCTTATCGCAAAAAAAATTACAATGGTCGAAACACCTTACGAATGAAAACTAATTACACTCAAAATATTAATTAAAAAAATTAGCGAAATAGAACCAAACTTTGCGACAAGCAGGGAATCTACGTATGCAGAATGTCTCGCATATCTACATCAAAGATATCCACCCGTCGAAACAAAGCAAATTACCCGAGTTGAGGAATTACAAAAATTAAAATTTAATTTACAAGACTACAATGATACAAATCCATTGGACTTTCTATGCAAAGATGATCTAATATTCGACATCCTCATTGAAATGACTAGTGAAAATTTAAGTCCAGCATTCCTCCTTAATGCTATTACGGATATAAATTTCGAAAAATTAAAATTAGATAAAACTGAAATTCCAGTACTTGAACTCATTGAAAATCAAACAGCTTACGAAACAGCAACTCTTCGTGATTTCAAGTACTCTTCGTACTTGAAATCATCAGAGTCCCATTCTAATCCATGGTAGTAGATTTTCATCCAAAGATTATAACGCTTACATTTTTCAGTTAGCCTTCGCCATGGAAACGGAAGTTTGAATAACCGTACGAATGGTTCTTCGTTGCAGTCAAGTGGAATCGCTAGCTCCTTTAAGGCATACGTATTGCCAGGCATCATGAAACCTTGCATATCCACTACGTACTCCATTCTGGCTGCTACTGAGCTGCTTGAGGGAAGAGCCATCTCTTTAATACATCGATCTCCACTCCCTAAATAAGTTTCTTTACATCGCCACTTATTGGATTGTATTGAACGATGCGATCATGTAAAATGAGACAATACGCTGAAGTTCCTTCAGGAATATTTTCCCTTGTTTCAAACTCCAAGAATACATCCACTGCAGAGCTCTTCAATGTCTCATTTGGTTTAGAGCAATCAATTACAATGAGTGGTACTTGTTTTATGAAGGTAGATTTTTTTAGCATCGATTCAGAGTCTTTACCATAATATGCCTTCTGGAAATTGGTATACATGTCGTATAACATTGCAAACTGATGCTTATTTATGTCAATATTAAGATTACTATACGGATAACACTGAGAGTTGAGGAAAAGTTTTACGTTACTAATGTTGCAATGATCAAATACGCTTGCATTAACTGTTGAATATTTTTTCGCTTAGTTTGAAAAGCTAAGATGACATAATGTGGTTTTTCCAGTTGATTTGCAGTTTTGACTGTCCATACGTGACCTGTGTTCATAGGTAGCATTGGATACTCATATAATTCCCAACTACGAAAACTCATTCAAATGCTTCTTTCTCTTTTCAGAATATCAAGTAGACGAATTTTTTGAGTACAGGCATCCCTCGTTATACGCGGTTTCGTTATACGCGGATTACCCTTCTACGCGGATTGCGATTTGTGACCGTCCCGCGTTTTACGCGGTAACAGTCAGCCTTATACGCGGTTTACTCAACGCAATGTTCAGTTCAATTTTTTTGTTTTTGTTTATAAATTTTTATAATCTTTAACATTGTACATTTCTATTTGGTTCACACTACTTTCTTATAACGTCAATAGTATTTCCAAATTTAAATCATGGCACCACCACGCACTCCAATGAAAACTCCAAGAAAAACGCCTTTAAAGAAAAATCGAAAAGTAATGAGTTTGGCAGATAAATTAAAAATTTTAAATTCACTTCGAGACGGAGATAAAGTTGCTGCAATTGCTAGACGTTTCGAAGTAAATGAATCAACCATTCGCACGATTCGGGATAGCGAAGCGAAAATTCGTGAAAGTGCACAAATTTTGGGCCAGCATGCTCAGGCAGCAAAAGTTGTTCGTCATAATTTCATTGAAAAAGCAGAAGAAATGCTTATGATTTGGATTCAAGATCTTATACACAAAAAAATTCCTCTTAGTACAGCGGCAGTTAGAGATCAAGCTATCGTTTTTCACACTCACCTGTGTGAAAAATACAATAAAACTGAGAAGTTCAACGCGAGTAAAGGATGGTTTGAAAGGTTTAAAGCCAGATTCATGCTGCATAATGTCAAATTCTCAGGTATAGAATGTAAAAATAAAATATAAATAAAAAATAAAAACTTAACTTGAAAATAAGAATGAAAATCAAAATATTTAGGTGAAAGTTCTAGTGCGGATCATGAAGCTGCTCGTGTATTCCCAGCACAAGTTCGAGAAGTTATTGCTGAAAAACATTTTGTTCCCGATCAAATTTTTAATTGTGACGAGACTGGACTTTTTTGGAAAAGAATGCCATCTCGAACATGGTTAACGAAAGAAGAATTAAGAGCGCCAGGTTTCAAAGTAGCGAAAGATAGGTTTACTCTCTTATTCTGTGTTAACGCCACTGGAAATTTAAAATGCAAACCTATGCTCGTGTATCGTTCAGAAAATCCTAGAGCATTAAAAGGAAAAAATAAAGAACAGCTACCCGTCCATTGGACTTCGAACAAAACTGCATGGGTAACAAGAAATAATTTTGAGATTTGGTTTTTGCATTCATTTATTCCAGAAGTGAAAGAATTCTTAGCCAAAAAAAATCTCGCTTTCAAAGTTTTGTTACTGCTTGATAATTGCAAGAGCCATGATGGATGTTTGCAAACAGCTCATCCTGATGTCGAAGTGATGTTCCTTCCTCCCAACACAACGTCATTGATTCAACCGCTAGATCAGACTGTCATAGCAACTTTCAAGTCTTATTATTTAAGACGTGTTATAAAATCATTAGTCCAAAAAGTAAATCTTCACCGGACTTGCGACAATTTTGTTCCCGACAATGTTGTCAGACAATATTGGAAAATGTTTTCAATCATGGATGCAATCAACTTCGTTGAAGAGGCTTTGACTGAAGTTAAATTGACCACTGTAAACCAAAGCTGGAAAAAGCTGTTACCGGAAGTAGTTGCAGCAAGTGACGCCGAGCAGCAATCAAATTATCAAGACACAGTGCGAGAGGTTATAGCCTTGGCTCGAGAAGTCGAAGGTGAGGGGTTCCAAGACCTTGAGGAATCGGAGGTTCTAGATCTTGTGGAAGAAAGAACTGACTTGACACCTGAAGAAATCGAAGTACTTTCGAACAATCCGCCTGAAGAAGAAACTGAAGAAGGCCTTACACGAACGACGTCCGAAACCATTTTCGATGCTAAAGCTGTTGTGGAAATTATCAATCTTATTAACATGGCATCCGAAAAATCTATGCAAAAAGATCCGATAATGGTTAGAAATTTAAATTTCAAACGACAATGCGATTTAGCTATATTGATTTACGATGAATTATATAGAGACATTTTGAGAAGAGCTAAGCAAGCAAAATTGACTGATTATTTTCAAAATAAATAGTACTGAATCATATATTTTGATTTCTTTGGAACGTAACCCCTAATTTCCCATAAGTGTAAGGTCTCGTTATACGCGGTTTCGTTATACGCGGTACTTTTTCGGAACGTAACTACCGCGTATAACGAGGGATGCCTGTATTCGATGCAGAATCTTATGGCATAAGCCATTCGATGTGTGTTATATCGATCTTGAACTTTTCGATGATTGTTTCTAGTTCCACTAATTTTGTTGTTTGGATAACTGCATTTAAGTCACTGCTTGATCGTGTGAGAATTAGTTCATGTTTCATGTTTACCAATACTTTGCGTTAATCTTCAGCAAATCCGAGAATGAAGTTTAAAGGAATAGTGACATCGAAATATCTTTCGTCGTTGATTATTTTCTGATCATTTTCTGTTATCCATCCGGCATTTTCAGCAATCCAATTTTGACTTGGATTAAGTCATAGCCAATTTTTCATAATAGTTGTTAGACCAACGTTGTTACATTTATCGATTTCTATCGCATTTAGCTCATACCTAATTTCCTCAAACAAGTGAAAGATGACGTTCACAAATAGAGTATTTGTTAAGACTGCATTCTTATCATCGCACAATCTACCACAAATACGCAATGAGCTACGAGATGGTAAACGACACAGGTCTTGATATTGGATTGATATGCGAATTTCATCCCTATATTTGAAAGATGTATTAGTGTACGGTTGATGAGTATGAATCTCATAATGAGCCAAGGATTCGTGAAAGGTGACGGGTGACTGTATTTCTAGAACGTTCTCCATTATTTCGTTGAAAGCAGAAAAAAATAATGCAATTTACTTTTCATCAGAAATTACTTTTAAACCGAGACTTTTTAAGAACTTTATGCTTTGATGTGTCAATCCTTTTGCTTTTCGATGACGATTGACACTCGGAATTCACCGTGTTGTCCGTTTTACTTTCAATCGACGACTGATGGTTAGTTTGTATATTTTACTGCTTATATAGCCACCACTACTGTTTCAATTGTAAAACATTCCCATCATGTACTTTTCAGGTGTAATCTAATTGTTATCACTTCACCTCGAAAGTTTATTAAATTTCCGTCTTAGTCAACGATGCGTAATTGTAAATTATCTATACACTTTACGGTAACTGTGAGATAAATCACATTTGAAGGAACTTCGATAATTTTATATCCAGGTGGTACTGCAGGAAAAAATTCATAAATATCGTGAACCTTACTCCCATTCATATTTGGGCAATTCTTGGCTATTTCAAACAGTTTAAAACATCAAATCATCAATTTTGTTCAAAGTTGGTAGACTTGTTATTTATACAGAGGTCAACATCTGTGCAGAGTTTTAGATCAAAATATTGATAAGGGGCCGATTTATCAACTGTTGAAAAAATATTGGACTTTTTTTATTAATTCGATTTCTCGGAGACTAATAAAGATATGGACATGATTCTTTTTTTAAAGAACGCGGAAAGAGTTTCACTTTTAAAATATAAATAGTAAAATCCAAATCATTTATTTATGCCATTGTTATAAACAATTTTTTCAAGAAATCGACGATATCTCAAAAGACGATATTTTTTTTTAATTTTTGCACCATCGTGTTCCTTGTCATTTTTTACATAAGAAATCGTTGAGAAAATCAAGTGCCCGCTATTAGAATTAAGACAGCACTAAAATAAAACGAACCGCGCACTAGCCGCTCGGCCGCTTGAACGTCCGCTACTCGTGCGGTTCCAACGTTGCTTGCGGCAAATGCCTTTAACGAATAAATAATTTCATATTCTACCAGTCTATTTAAATAATATATAAATTAGTTAATTAAATAAGTAATTAAGTTAAAATTAAATTTAATGATTTATTTAATTAATATAACGTAATATAAAGTAATATAAGTAAAGTAATATAAGTAATACACTGCCGGTCAGTCACTTTTACCCCCCCTCGAGCAAAATTGCTTGAACTTGGAAGTTTTATATTTTTGGTCAGAATCAACGTACAGAGACGAACGGGAGCGCATTTGAAAGCTCTTTCCCGAATAGTATGCATCGCAAAATTTATGAAATCGGGTTTCTAATTTTTTCAATGGAATATTTATCAATGAAAATTCGGAAATTTTCAGTCTATCTTTTATAACTTGCCAATTCTAGGGAAAAAATCCCACGAAAATTTTGAGCACAGCATTTTCTTCCTTTTTCCAAACCCTATCCAAATCACTCATCAAGAAAAATTTTCCATTAAATATTGTATGAGAAATTTTATACATACACGTTTTTTCAACTTTTTATAACTTTGTAAATAAAAATCCTAGAAAAAAATGTACATGAAAGAAAATGTTTCTTTTTCCACGTAGAATACTGTAAAAAATTTTCAGATTAAAAAAAAAAATTGTTTTTTATCCATCTTTCTATGGTCGTTCAAAAAAAAAGTAAAATATTCATCTGCAACGTGAAATTGTCTTCTTGTCAAATAAAAATTGTAGATTTCAAAAACTTGTTATTCCCATTTTTTTTCCTCACAAGAACACTGTTTTTCAATAACAATAATGATATGTCATAATTTAAATGAAAATACATGCTTAATCTGGAAAGTTATGGTAGTTTGAAATAATAACTTTACATAAGTTTCATTGAGCCTAAAACTTGAAGATTATCTGCTAATTCACTCTGGATTTGTTTCTAGCGTGTTTTCAGTAGAATGTCATAACATAGAAATAGACAACAAAAAATAGATAACAAAAAATAGACAAAAGTAACCAAATGCGATAGGACGATGAACCAAATTTTTTGCTAAATATCATTCGAAATAAATAAAATTTGAATAAATAAATGCACCATCTTATAACAATAACACGTAACAATAGTGACTTTGTAATTAACAAACATAAACTTGCGATAATTAGAACTTGTATCACACAAATTAAACTTTTTTTTCATCAAAGTGTCCTCCTTTATGCTTGATAACAGCTTTGCATATTCTTGGCATCCTTGCGACTAGTTTGTCCAATGTGGTTTCTTGGAGATTGCTCCATTCTCTTTGTGAAATTTCCCATAAATTAGTTACAGAGCTTGGGCAAGATTTTTTCACTGTTCCCATAGCAGTTCGATGGGATTCAAATCAGGCGACTGGGCTGGCCATTGCATAACTTTCAAGTTTTGTTTCTTTTCTAAATTTGAGAGATAATTTTTACATAATTTGGATATATGTTTGTGATCGTTATCTTGCTGAAACATAAATTGTGCTCCTACTAGTCGAATTCCTGATGATACAGCGTGCCTTTGTAGAATGTTTTTGTAACTTTCTTTCTTTAAGATTCCATCAATTTTCACAATATCACCTACTTTTGATCTAGCAAAACAACCCCATACCATAACTAAACCACCACCATGCTTCACACTTGGAACTAAACAATCACTATTATATTTCTCACCAACCCGTCTTTTTACATACACTCTCGTTCTACTTCCAAAAATTTCAAATTTTGACTCGTCAGATCACAGAACATTTTTCCAATTATAAATAGTCCAATTTTTATGACATTTTGCTCTATGTAAGCGTTTCTTTTTATTTACACATCGTAGAAGTGGCTTCTTAACGGCAACTGGACCGAAAATTCCTTTCTTTCGCAAACGTCTCTTTACCGTACTCACACTCACAGGATTTTCTAAAGCTTTGTTGATATCTGCGGTAAGTTCAGAGGCAGTGGCTTTTCGATTACGCAAAATTGTTCGACAAATGTAGTCATCTTCTTTGGCAGTAGTTTTTCTTCTTGGTTTGCGTTGCCTATTTTCGACACTTCCAGATGTACAAAACTTTTTAATATTATAAGCTACTGTGCGCCTGTCTATTTTCAACTGCTTTGAAATAGCGTGACTACTCATTTGCAGTTCATGAAGGGCAATGATCTTATTACGTTCACGCACAGACAAATTTTTCGATTTTGCCATGTTCATTACACATTACACAAACAGTTGTTCACACTTGAAACGCTCGCGATCTACTAGTTTGCTCATAATCGTAGACACAGAAATATTTAAGAAGGTACCACATTTCATATGGTGAGCGTTCGTATATAACTTTATTTGTAAACACCTGAGTATACAGCGTGTTGGGTACCTACTAAATAAGCCTGTGATTACTGGGTGTGAACACACATACGTATACTCACTATCGTTCCCTGTACAATATATTTTTTTTTGCACCGGCTATAAAAACAGCGATGAAAAATAATTGAAAAACAACGTTCTTGTGAGGAAAAAAATGGGAACAACAAGTTTTTGAAATCTACAATTTTTATTTTACAAGAAGACAATTTCACGTTGCAGATGAATATTTTACTTTTTTTTTTTGACCGATCATAGAAAGATGGATAAAAACAAATATTTTTTTTAATCTGAAAAAATTCTACAGTATTCTACATGAAAAAAGAAACATTTTCTTTCATGTACACTTTTTTCTAGGATATTTATTTACAAAGTTATAAAAAGTTGAAAAAACGTCTCAATTTTCAAGAAAATTTCTCATACAAGGGTCATATTTGATGGACAACATTTTTTGACGAAAGATTTGGATAGGGTTTGGAAAAGGGAAGAAAATGATGTGCTCAAAATTTTCGTGGGATTTTTTCCCTAGAATTGGCAAGTTATCAAAGATAGACTGAAAATTTCCGAATTTTCATTGATAAATATTCCATTCAAAAAATTAGAAACCCGATTTCATAAATCTTGCGATGCATACTATTCGAATGCTCTTGGAAAGAACTTTCAAATGCGCTCCCGTTCGTCTCTGTACGTTGATTCTGACCAAAAATATGAAACTTCCAAATTCAAGCAAGTTTGCTCGGGGGGGGGGGGGGGGGGGTAAAAGTGACTGACCGGCAGTGTATATTTTTCAAGTCTATTTTATTTCAATTTCTTGATCATAGGAGTTATCCCTATAAATAACTACACTCTTGTTTTTTTTTTTATAGACGTTTGGCAATTTTATTCATTTATTGCCACCTC